TAGCCGGGTCCTGCGCGATAGCGCAAACCACGAGCGTAGCGAGTGCACCCAGCGATAGCTGGGGTCCGAGCGGTCGGTTAATATGCTATGCGCGAGCGTAGCGTGTGCACTTGCGATAGTGCACGGCAGCGCGGTAGGATAATGTGCGCGATAGCGCAATGTACGAGCGTAGCGTGTGCATTTGGTATCGATGGGTCCTGTGCGATAGTGCGGGACCTGAAGCTTTGTTGCATTGTGTTAGGTCAAAGTATTAGGTCACTCTGTTAGGATCGCATCTGTGTTACGTTTGGTTTGCAGGTTTTTATTGCGCGCCACGCACGGAGCAGAAGATCAGGTCATAGTGGGGACGCCAGCTTCTGGGGCCGAGCGCAAGCGCGAGCAGCAGATGCGTCAAGCTGCATGCGCCCTGGCGACATCTACTCTGACCGAGGAGGCCAAGGAGCTCAAGCAGAAGATCACGGAGGCAGAGGTGACGGCAGCGAAGCAAGGCGTCGATGGCAACCGCCATTGCGACTCCTGGCGAAGCGTACGCGTCCATGGGGCCTGCCACAGTGGATGTGCTGGGCCTTCAAATCCGAGTAGCGATTCTTTAAACCACCTCATGAACGTAAAACATCGTGCAATGTTGATCATTTCGCGATGCTGCAGCAAGCTGTTGTGCGTGAAGCGTCCTGCTATGCAGTATTGGACCCGAGTGCTGAAATGATGCGAAGGTGGAAGTGGCTAAGAAATAACTCTTCCCGGTAACAATAACAACCCACATCTAAGCGAGATTGGGACGATGCAGCACCCTCACTGCACAATGGAAAATGAATTTGACTTTGTTTCCACTGGACCCCTACAAGAGTCCACCAGGTGCACCGCAGTTTCGTTTCCGGCTGAAGGCCGGCAGCGGTCCGCTGGGCATCGTAACGAAGCGGAGGTCCGTCCGTCGCACGCGTCCATCACACATTCGCCATGTGAATGCGTGTTTGCAGTAGGAAGGTACAAGAGCCCGTGAGGGTGGAAGGCATCCACACTGTCCAAGCTACGACACAGACATACCGCTAGGTTGCACGCGGCCCCGAAACCAAATTGGAATCAAAAAGCTCGATGGCACTCTGCGCAAACCTTCTACACGAATCAAACCACTGCGCAGAAAGACGGCTAGATGGCCCACCGGTACTATGCCCCACCTCAACCAGATAGACCAACCACACCCTGCCCCAAGAAAACCCGAGGTTTGGGGCAGGTACGTTGAAACTCAATGCACATGACCCCGTCCACCGACGAGTCCAAACTACGTCACACGTAGTACGCGATCCCACCGCTAGATTGCACGCTACCCCAATGCAAAACCTCAACCAAAAAGCTCGACCAAAACCTGCCCCAAGAAAACACGAGGTTAACCCCAGTACGATGCGCTTGTATTTACGACAGTAGACTTTCGGAGAGATCATTTGTCGCGGCCGTCGTTGCCACCGAAGGCGAACCCTCTGGCTGTTGCCCCAACCGGTTAAAGGCGTCGCGCAGCTTGGCGGTTCGCAGTGCTTGGATCCGGTGCAGCACCGAGAGCATGTGGAGGCCGACGTCGTACGGGTTGATGTACGCTTGCGTTGGGCGAGCGTGTACGAGGGCTTCCATCTCGCTCAAGCTGTGCGCGTGAAACAGCGCGCGTGAGAGCTCCATCGACTGCTGCCGCCGCAGCTGCGTCGTTGGCGCCTCGACGTCAACTCGACTCGGATTCGTCTCTGTCTCGAGGGCGCGGTACACCACGACGCGCCTAGTTGCGTGTGCACAATATGGACAAGATTGGTCCAGTTTCGCACCAGTAGACAAAGACACCGAGTGTGGCGCACGTCAACAGCACGAGTGCCAGCCATTGGTTGGCGTTGCCGACTTGCGACAGAATGCTCGTCATCGCCAGCTAACGAAAACCATGAGCGGCTCCATCATGCACCGTGAAATCATCTACTTCAAAGAGGAGGAGGCAGACGAGGGCGAGCGAGTACGCAGCGCGAGCAACGTTGCCGCGGCCCGGCGTCGTGGGATGCACGTATACAAAATTGTACTTGGAGACATAGTACTTGGCAAAGAAGAAGACGGCCGCGCATGGCACGAGGTACGGCGACAGCACCGAGCCCAGGAGCCCAATCGTAAAGACGCTAGGTACATGACAATATGTACATGTTAGCAGGAATGTAGTACCTCAGTAGAACGGCATAGTCGTAGCCAAAGTAAAAAGGCCATGGCTCGCGCGCGGCGTGGACCTCATCCGTGGTGACCGCTCGGGAAATGACCCTAATGGTTCAAGTCGACTTTGGGACTGTAAAACGAGCAAAAATGGACTACCATGGCTGGTAAAACAATTTTTCGCCGATACGAAGCAGCTGCGTGAGCGACCCGAGGCAGGTCCTAGACCGTTTCTATAGCGAGACCGTGTAGGGGTAGGGTCGTACAGTTGCAGAATGTAGCCGACAAAGAAATTGCTGCACAGCTTGTACAGAAAATCGTTGACGTACTTGACTTCCCGGGACGACGTGCCACCAAACGCCACCTGCGACGAAGACTTTGTCGCGGCGTACACAGCCGTAACGCCGATCGATGGAAACAAAATCGAACTCTAAAATCACAAAATCCGACAAATCAGATCGGAGAGGAAAAAATCGTACGAGAAAGAGGTAGGCAAAGCCTTTGGAGAGAAAGCTGCGCATGCGGCGCGACTCGGTGAACCACGGTTCGAGAAACGACACGTAAAAGAGCACCGTGAGCAAGACCCAGTTGACGCACACCTACATAAAGATGTGTATATCAGGCAATAGTTTCCAACATTCATCGTGACTGCACCAGGAAGAGCGTCGGCAAGTACGTATGGAGAAACCCGGCAAAGAGCGAGTCGGGCGTCAGGACCCGTGCATACACGTCGCTGCCTGGCTGCAGGTTGAAGTAGAGCAGCACCGACGCCGGCGTCGAGAAGAGCAATAGCAGCACCACCGTGAGCGCATGGTACAAGCCAAACTGGCAGAAACGACGGAGGGACTGTGGACGATACGTCTATACCAATCTTCGATAGTACGTTGGCGTGGATTGAACGCTGCGTACCATTTTAGACCACTTGAGATCGTGCGGCTCGGGCGCAGGATGCACCACAAGGTCAGTCAGGTGCCGGGCCAAGCCTACGATATGTGAGCCATTATCGAGACAAGTTGTCTCTACGGGACGGGCCGGACGAGTCGACGGTGGCGCGGCGCGGCCGGCGGCGGCACAAGGTCGCGGCGGTCGACGCCACACACTGCGATAAGGGTGCTTGTGTCTGTCGAAACCGGTCCAGAAATTGATCGCGGGCGCGGTTCTGAGCCAATCAGACCAATCAGATCGTAGACATTCTGTCGCAAGCCCACCGAGTTGAAGACGACAAACGCCGCGCCCGTGCCCGTGCGGCGTGCATAGCTGTTTAAAATGTCCTATATATGCGATGACGTCATCGATTTCCATGATCAACTATACCTCGGGGACGGCGGCGAGCTGGGCGCGCAACGCAGTGACTTTGGCCAAAATACGAGGCGGCACCATCTCATTCGCCTCATCGTCGCCGATGACGTCAGCCTTGGGCGAGCCACCGCTGTCGGAGAGCAGCGGCTCTTGCAGCGGTCGCGAGGCGGCATCCCGACGGGAGCGACACGGCCGGCGCGCAAGGTAGTCAAACCAAATGTCTGTTGGCGACGGGCAGCATGCGCCGCCAGGGCAGTAGCGCAGCCAAGGCGAGAGCGTCAACGACGGCGACATGTAGATGGCTTCGAGGCGCTGGAGGTCGTTGCGCCAGTTCATGCGCTGTCCCAAGACGGTATACACCTTGCTGAGATCGGCGACAACGGTGACTTGATCGATGTCCTAGCACACAGATTCATTTAACGAGACTTGAGGCTTTGTACCTCTGGGTAATCAGCAAGAAACCACTGCCGCAGCTCATGGCGCGTCACGTCCAGTGGCAAACCGGCTTGGATAAAGACGCTGCGGGGGCCGATCAGCGTCGTGTCGTTCATGTGTAAGTACTCGAGCCGGCGGTTCTGCCTACAAAATATGTTGACTCGGAAGAAGCCTCTATAAACTACTGTACCGAAACACAAAGAAGAGGACGGCGCCGGCCGTGAGGTAGCACATGACGACATGGCCCCAAAAGTACGGGCTTTGCACTGGCACGTTGGCGATCGTGGCTTGCTGCGACGACGTTGTCGGCCCGTCGCCCGATACAAAATTCTATACAAATACAGTGTATGAAATACTGGATGCAAGTGCAAAGTGGGCGTCGTACGATCGGCAAGAGGAGCGCGCAGCTCAAGATTGTGAGTGCGCTAAAGAGCTTGGCTGCGTCGAGGTTGAAGCGCAAGAAGAGCGCGGCGTCGACGCCGCACGCGTCGACAATGTACGCGTCATCGCAATCGAGGCGCCAGAATCGGCGTCCGCGCTCCTGCCACGTGGGCGCCGCCAGCGGCGACGGCATGGCCTCGTCGCTTCGGAACGGATCAGGCTCAAAGACGCCTTCGATCGGGGCGCCCCAAAACCACAAGTCGCGCTTCGCACCGCGCCGCCAGAGGAAAATACCGACGCCAGCGACCACGAGGGCTACGTTGATGCCAAACTGCGATAGCGTGCTCTGCCACTGGTCGTTGACGATGAATACGACGAGCGTTTCGGCGCTGAGCTCGTACGTTGTGTTGCCCGAGACAAGCGACACGAGCTTGTAGCTCAGTGGGTACCGCCCGGGCAACGCGCCCGTGATGGTAAAGTTGACGTTCGTTTGGCCTGTCCGCAGCACCAGTGGCGACGGTGCGATCGTTGGCATCGCGCGCGTGTCGTTGGCCGACAGCGAGAGCGCGATGAGGAGGTCGTTGGTCACGTTCGCCGGCGACCAGATGGATGCATTGATGTGGTCGTTGACAAAGCCGTAGACGCTGCCACTGGGGACATGCAGCGTCACGACGTCGGCAGCGGCGAGCGCCACCACCATTGCCAGCAGCGTCGGTAGCATGGCCCGCGTTCTGTGCAGCGCCATGGCAACGGCGAATGTGATGGAATCGGCCAATAGCACGCTTTACCCGGTTGGTATTTTAGCCAATCAAACGGAAGAAGGCTGACTAGACCAGATGGGCGGCAATCATCGCCATCGCATCGGACTAACGTTAGACCAACCAAGCAATTCGTCTCAAGAGCCAGCGTGAGGGACTTGCAATTCAGTTGTCGACTTTCAGCAATGCGTCGGCGGCGCCCTTACGCTTGAATCCATTTTGTACGATCTCTCACCGATGGCGTAAGGTTGGAGCCTGCCGTGGGTCGGAAGTTATACCCGGAGCAACCATTGCGCTGCTATATGCTCGCAACACAATGCTATATACCTGTACTGGGCGCGCGGCTGGGTCTTCGCCAACATCCAGAGACAAAGCGCTCTTTTGGTAATACTTGTTGGTCGACCACACCACGATGACGTGGCAGCACGTGGGACAATCCCGACCGAAAAACTCCTTTAAAACATAGTGCAAGGGCTGAATTCAAGAGAATTTTCTTAATCCGGCGTCGTCGTTGTCAAGGCAAAGGGAAGACATGCATGCACGAGTTAGCGCGCAAAACTAGAGACGTCACATGACACGGACGGCGTCACGCCCGCCTGTGGGCAGCTCACAGTAGTTGGCATCTTCGTCCGAGTATCGCTCGATCTCTTCAAAATCGCACATCAAGGGCAGGTGGCGCTTGGTGGCTTCGGTTGCCAAATGCGACCAGCCCGGATCCAAGAAGAGGACGACGCCCGTCGCAAGTGCTTTCAGAGGCGCCTTGTACTCGTCGTCACTGAACTCCCGACCAAGTTGACCGCGACACCCGACACTTTCCGGACGACGAGAAATCCAAACAGCGAGACCTGAACCTCAAATGAGCTACCGGAAATTCATCCCCAACAAACACAGTTAATGAGTCTTTCGAAAGCGTAGAAAATGCTATATTCACACGCGCCTAATGGGCTGCTTCGTCAAAGAGCGAGTGCGACATGAGCTCGAGTTTCCTGGCGACGCGCTGGTCGTCCTCGTAGATCCCGTTGCCAATCACGTCTAACGTGAGCGCCGTCGGACTCAGCGTCAACGACATGGCGCGAGGTGCCGATGCCCGTCGGTCGTCGGGCTTGGGCATCGCCTTTGGTCGCAGCCGCGCGCCCAGTGCCGTCACCTTGGCTTTTGCGCGGTGCCACCCGTACCCTCGTTTCTTGGGCGTCTCGACAACCGGCTCAAACTCATCGACGGGCGTTGGGTCGATCGCGTTTTTGAGTTGCGTCACGCGGTCCGCAACGTGCGCGGGCGTCTGAAGCGCGTCGAGCCATGCGGTTAAAATGCGTCGCTGGATCGCGTCCAGCTCGTCGGCATCGATGGCTTCGCTTTCGTACAGCTGCGCGGTTGTCTCGAGGTGTTGTCGGACCGAGATTGTCGCGTCCGACGCGTCACTGTCTCCGTCGTCGTCGTCGTCCGACGACCGCGGTATCCGAAAGTTCTTGCGCACCGACTCGCCGAGCTTGCGGATCGGGGACTTGGGCGGGGACGGCATGGGCACGAGGCCAAACCGGCGTCGGGACGACGTCACCATGGCTTTGGACGGCGTCAGCTTTTGCTCGCGCAGCGCGGCCTTCTTGGACTCACGGGCATCAAAAGCTGCGTGAACCGAGCTCAAGTGGACATCGCGGGCCGACGAGAGCTCGGGTGGCGGCAGTTGGGCCCACAGCACACTGCACATTTCCAAAAACGACGAGGCCGTCTCGGGCGTCGCCAACGAGCTCAAGAAGAGCTTGAGCCGCCGTAGTACAACGCCGGCTTCGCGCTCGAGCGTAAGCTGCGGCGAGAGATGCAGCAGGATCGCCAGCGCCGTCACGAGCGGAATGCGTGACGCGCTCTGCGCCGATGGTGCGGCAAAGACCGCGGCCAGCAAGCGCTGGTAAAACGGAGCCGGTGCGCTGGTCACAAAGCACGTGACGAGCCACTAGGCATTGCCACTTTGCACTTGCAATTTCATAGGGGTAGGGTACCGCGGTGCAGAGCACTTCCATGTTGAGGCCGAGCGCGGCCAAGTGCTGGCTCAGGTACGGATCGTTGCGTAACAGCCATGACTGGAGAAGACTGCAGTCCGTGTGCAGACCGGCCATCGAGTGCGTATGGTACTCGGGCAAGACGTCTTCGAGGAGGTAGACCAGCGCCCAAAACGCCTTCTCTTCGTCCATCTTGGCCGACGATAGGAGCACGGCCGCGATCTCGTTCATGCCCTGGCAGTACCCAATGCGCGGACACCGAATCGCAAAGCTGGTGAGGACGCGCGTGAGCGCCGGTCCGGCCTCGGGTGGTACGACAAAGGTGCGTGGGATGTCTTTTTCAATGCTGGCTTCAATGTCCGAGAACGCTCGTGGCCGGTGGTGGAGGTACCGCGCACAGCTCGCGCCGTCCCGAGCCTACTTAGCCACGTATATCGTCAAGACAAGAGCAGAGCGAGGTAGCGCCGACCGGTGGCCACGGGTGCAGCGTTGGCGCGAGGCTCAGTGTGGCCGCCTCGGTGGGCCGCACAAAGAGCCGGCCGCTCGAGAGTTCATCTGGTGGCGACTGGAGGCGCAGCGGCGGGAACGGTGCTTTGATGTAGCCATGCAGCGTCACGGCAACGTCAAGGAACGCCTTCGCGATGGCCTCGTCGCCAAGCGTCACGGTGCAAAAGTGCCGGAGGACGACGTGGAAGCTCGGCGCGTCGGCCACCGAGAGGAGCGCGTCACCAAGGTAGAGGAAGAGCGCGGCGCTGAGCGAGACGAGCCACTTGGACCGGGCGCGGGAGGTCACAGCCTCAGCGAGGACCCAGGTGTAGACGTGTCGGACGATCGTCGGGTGCAACACGTCGACAAAGAGGCGGTAGCTCCACTACACACACAAGAGTTCATTATGCTCCTGCACACACCAGGCATCGAGGCGCACCGAGGCCAGCACGTCGGGCAAGGCGACGTGGATCGCTAGAGCACAAAGATGAGCGGCGACGATAGGACGGCAGGAAGAGGCTCGGTATACCGGCGAGGTGCGGGCCGAGCCGCGGGTCAAAGTGGTGCACAACGCCGTAGACAAACTTCCAGTCGTTCTCGAGGCCAACCATTGCGCTCGTAAAGTAGTCGGGCACGAGCTGGTGCACGAGCACGTGCAGCATACGCCCAGCTACGTCCATGTTCGTTGTCCATTGCAGGAGGACGTCGCTGACACGGCCAAGGCCCTACGATACGCGTCGTCAAGAGGATTCATCGCTTTGTACGAAGCCGCCTACGTGCATGTACTCGATGTGGAATTGGTGCGGCGTGGCGAAGAACGGTGCGAGCATGCTCGCGCTGGCTTGCAGCGACGACGTGGGCGTGGCCACCTTGACGGACGCCACAAGCACCGGCCATGCATAGCAGCAGTCGGCCAGCGAGATGAAGTCGGCGCCAAGCAGCGCCTTGGCGACGGCCATCGCGTCAATCGCACCGTTCTCGGTCGCTCGCTTGAGCTGCGTTAGCATCGTCACGGCTTTGGCAAGCGAAGAGACCGGGCTTCCGGATGATTGGGCACGTTACCAGAAATTATCCGGATTCGGACCATTCCACCATGGCCACCTTCAACGACAAGGTTACCGAGCTCCTCGCGGCCCTCGATCGCATCGACCTCTCGCGCGAAGCGGGCACGCTCGCCAGCGACTACACGCGCCCAGTGCGCTTCGCCAACCCGGCGAGCCCGACGCCGGAGTTTGCGACGCCGGCGGACGAGGCCATGCCCTGCGACACGGCCAAGCATCCAGGCGACGACCTTGACAGCGACGAGAGCGACGACGAGAACGCGCCGCCCGTGCCCGACGAGCTCTATGGTGAGACCCTGGACGACGAAGATGAGGTCTACGTCAAGGAGAACCTGCGTACGTGCGACGACGACGTGGCTGTCGCGTCTCATGCCATAGACCTGTCATAGGTGGCGCGTCGGACGCACCGAAGGACGCTGCGTTGAGCTGCCCGTGCTGCTTTCTCGTCGTCTGCTATGCCAGCCAACGGTACGACTGTCACCTTGCTGCCGGATGCGATGGAAATATTGCTAGGCACGATCGCTACGAGACGCAGTACCGTTCGGAGAAGCCCGTCAACTGCCGCGTCCAGAAGGAGACTGTCTACTACTACGAGCAAAACAAGCTGCAGACGTCGTGCAGCGGCAGCGACGACGAAGCCTACTACGCAGTCGTGTGCTCCGACTGCCAAACGATCGTCGGCGTCAAGCCCGTCGCCACCGCGCCCGGGCAGCCCGCCTACACGCACTTCTTCCAGGTGCTTCCCAGCCATATTTAACTGCGCTTTTCCCAGTCCCTATGAACCCTATGGTTGATGCGCTCGGCTCTTGCTCACGTCCTGCCGCAACGTTCGGACGTCTGCAGAGGAGTGAGGCGGTAGCGCCGTGGGATTGTACCGATCGACCGCATCGACGGTCGCCATGACATCCTCGTTCAGGCTTGTCCCAGAATAGACACCGCAAAAGTCCGAATTTCACTGGAATTCGGCATTTCTGCCCCACGCCACCAACGAAGCACGACGTTTGATTGGCCAAAATGCAATCAAATTGTGGCCGATTGTGAAGCGCCGTGGGGATCTTCAGAACATCGCATCAGCCGACCAATCAAAAGCGCGTATCTCGGTGACGCGTCGTGTGATTGGACGAAAGGCCAGACGGGCCGGTCGATGTAGCATCCCATTGAGCGGACTTTGACTTTTGCACCGACGACGATGGCGGCAAAGGCTGGTGCCATCGCGTTCGGCTGCGCGCTGCTGCTGGGCACAAGCACGACCCTCTCGTCCAAGTTTATGTATGGCATCCAGAGCGTCGGCCTCGAAGCGACGCCCAAGCCCTTCGAGAAGCCGCTCATGCAAACGTTCTTCATGTTTGTGGCCATGGCGCTCGCGCTGCCCGTCTACTTTGTCTACCAGCTGTGCCTCCCAAAGGATAAGCGCCAGCAGCTCCGCCTCGACGCTGCGCTCAAGCTCTGCATTCCCGCGGCTGCCGACCTCGTCTCGACCGCGCTCAACTGCGTCGGCTTGCTCTACGTCAATGTGAGCTTTTACCAGCTTGCGCGGTGCACGGTCATCATCTACGTCGCGTCGCTCAAGGTGCTCTTTCTGCACTTTGTCATGACGGGCTACATGCGCCTCGGTATCGCAATCAACGCGGTCGCCATCGTTGTCATTAGCGCGTCGGCGCTTGCCGGCACGGAAAACCTCGGCGACACGATCATTGGCGTCAGCGTCATGCTGCTCGCATGCCTCTCGACCGCGCTGCAGTACGTAAGCGAAGAGTACTACATGAAGAAGGGCGCCAAGACGGCCGGTGTGACCGAGGTCTCGAACCCGCCCATGGTCGTCATTGGCATGGAAGGTCTCTGGGGCTCGCTGCTCATGCTCGTGCTTGTCCTGCCGCTCGCGTACGTGCTTCCGGGCGCCGACAACGGCCGCATCGAAGACTTTTTCGACTCGATTGAGATGATGACCAACAGCGCGTCGTTGCGGCAGGTCTGCGCGCTCTACATCGTCTCGATCACGGGCTTCAACATTGCGTCCATCTACGTCACGTACTTTCTCGACTCAGTGTGGCGCTCGATCCTCGTCAACTTTCGCCCCGTCGCGGTTTGGCTCGCGAGTCTCTTTACGTACTATGTCGCGACGACGCACGAGTATGGCGAGCCGTGGACGCCGTGGAGCTGGCTCCAGCTCGGCGGCATGCTCCTCCTCTTTTACGGCACGGCCGTCTACAACGCCAACGTCCGGCTTCGCTGCTACGACTACACACCGCCGATCGAGAGCGGCAAGGTTGGCGAGAAGCGCCTCAGTGTCTCAGCGGCCTCGAGTGACTCGGAAGCCGAGCCCGAGAAGATCCCAACCGCCAAGTCGAACGACACGGTGCACATGGTCTGAACAAATATATTGTGTTTGTGCTCTCGACGTGGTATCCATGCTCAGAATGCAAATGACAGAGACGACTGGTTGACCCGAGACGCAGCACACGTGAGCACCACCCGCGCTGTATCAAGGACATGCATTCCTGTACTTGATACTTTCATGGTCCTCGTCCATCTCGCCATCATCTTTCGTGTTGGGTCTGCCGGCGCGCACCAAGGAACCGTCCTTGAGTTGAAGTGGGTCATTTATCCGGACGCTAGTTCTGGTATACTCACATCCAGATATATGGTCTCTTCAACTGGAGTGGCATCCGGTTGCGATGGCTCTAAGATCTCAGTTTGCATTTGACCAGATCGATGAGAGGAGCCTCCGCACCGAGCGCGCGGACGAAGCGCGCGGCGGCGTTTTGCTTTTGCTTGGCGCTCATCATGGGCACGGGCTCGACGCTCTCGAGCAAGGTCGACCCGAAGCCGCCATCACCATCCAGCTCATGGCGCGTCGTAGATCATGTATGGCGTCGAGAGCATGGGCCGCGACGGCACAGTGCGCCACTTCCAGAAGCCGCTCATGCAAACCTTTATGATGTTTGTCGCTATGATGATTGGTAGCTAGCGATGTTTTTGGTCGTGTGCTCATTCACGATGGCTAGCCATTCCGTTCCATGTGCTCTACACGCGGCTCACCAAGCAGAACGACCCGCCGGTGCTGACGCGCCACAGCGTGCTCATGCTCGCGTACCCGGCCATGGCCGACCTCGGCGCGACTGCGCTCATGAGCATTGGGCTCATGTACGTGCCTGTGAGCACGTTCCAGCTCGTCCGGTGCACGATCATCGTGTTTGTGGCCGTGCTCAAGGTGCTCTTTCTCCAGTTCAAGCCCACGGGCTACATGCGATGCGGCATTGGACTCAATGCGATCGCGATCCTCATGGTGTCAGCGTCGTGCTTTGCCGAGGAGAAGGAGTCGGGCGACGCGCTGCTCGGCGTCGGCATCCTCCTCATCGGGTGCCTCATCACCTCGTCGCAGTATGTGCTGGAAGAGACGGTCATGCGGCGCAAGGACATGCCGCCCATGATGGTCATTGGCCTCGAGGGCGTGTGGGGCACGCTGTTCATGGTCGTCGTCGTCTTTCCGATCGCATTTCTCTTGCCGGGCCGCGACAATGGCCACGCCGAAGACGTCCTCGACTCGCTGACGATGATGGCCAACAGCGCGACGGTTCGATACCTCTGCGCCTTTTACATTGGGTGCATCACCGTCTTCAACGTTGCGAGCATCTTTGTCACGTACCTTCTCGACTCGGTGTGGCGCTCGATCCTTGCCAACTTTCGTCCGGTCTCGGTCTGGTCGATGGACCTCGCGCTCTTCTACGTCTTTACGAGCGGCGTCCTCGGCGAGCCGTGGTCGAGCTGGAGCTGGCTGCAGTTTGCAGGCATGCTCCTGCTCTTCTTTGGTACCGCGGTGTACAATGGCAACATTCGCCTCCGCTGGTTTGACTATGCGCACCTCGACGACGTCCAAATGATGCTCACGGAAGAGTCGGCGCTGGCCATTGAGCTCTCCAACAGCCCCGGCTACGGCTCGCGCCTCAATACGCACCGCAAGCCTTCGAAAGCCGTGTAGGCGTAAGCACTTGCTACGTCGAGTGCAACGAGTTGATCTATGGATCGTATGAACTTCCCGTCACCATTATACTAGTACATCCCGCGTGTCACAACTACGTCTCGTTTTTGGGGTGGTTTCGACGACCAAGAGGTGGTTAGGTTAAGAGGGTATAAGGTTTGCAAAGGAGGTTGGGATGGCGGGGGAGAGGGAGCAAAGCTGTTGGACTGTAGCGCCAAATTGGTCAACGAGCGCATCATTTGAATATTGTCATAATTTTGCGAATTATTGTCGCTAACGTGTGACAGAAAAGAAACATTTTAGGACACTTTTATGACAAAATTTGGGGAGAAAGTTCACCTCCATTTGCACGGGTACGGGTGACGGCCTGCGGCAGCGAGTAGGCCCCGTGCGTCGCAGGAACGTCGTTGCATGACATAAGAGTGGTCACGCCAGACGTCGTTCGACACCAGGCGGCGAGGCGAGGCCGGACGATGTGCGTCGGGCAACTCGTAGAGTTGGCGGCAGAATCATCAACGACAGAGTTGATGGAGCGGTATAAGTACGAGAGTACCGGCACTGTCTCGTTTTCACACTATTTAGATGCGACTGGGATGGGTCGACAAGAGGAATGACAATGTTATCGCCTTGCACACGTCGTTGTTCCACGAAGAGGTAGATTTCTCTACGTTCATATGCACACGAGACCTCACAAGTGACTGTGTGAGATGTGGTGGGCGAATGACGACTGCAAGGTCATACAGCTACACTATTATTTGGTCTTGATACAGTATTTCAAATCGTACTTAGCGAGAAGGCTCGTTGTATGCTGCATGTTGGAGGAGACACTTGCTGGTTTTCTGACCACTGCCAGACGCGTTCCCATGACGGCTTCCGCGACGTCGCCGGCGCACGGCGGCAGCGAGCGGGCCGAGACAGACTCGACTGCGTACACACAACTGCCCAGCACGACACAGCCATCGCGGGCGCCCGATCGCGCAACGACCAACGGCTGGACACCGAGCCAGAGCCTGTCCGCGGCCACGCCCGCCATGCGACTGGCCAGCGAGCGCGAAAGCGCGACGACAACAACAACAACTGCCAAGTGGGACCCGCAAGACCTGTTTGCCAAAGACGAAGACTCTACGCCCACGCAAGCGACCAAGAACGGGGTTGTTGCAGTCGCCCAGGTGCAACTGCAAGGCGGGCTGCGGCGAGCGTCGTCGTTGTACGAGTCGTCTTCGGCAGAGCGTGGCGGATGGCCCGTGCTCTCGTCAGCGACGCTCCACCGTCCGACAAACGAACGCCCGACCACCGACGGGCTTGAACTTGCACCGGGCGCGCCGCCGACCGCGTCGGACAAGGCAGCAACAAGCGCCGAATCCTCAACTCTCGGCAGCGACACCGCGCTTGGCGCAACTCAGACAGCGAATTCTTCCGTTGTCGGCGAAACGCCCTCGATGGACGGTACCGCGACTTCAAACCGAGCGACGGACGCCGCGACGACGCCTGCGCCGTCATCCGCTGCGTGGGGTGCGTCATCGTCGGTGCCGAGCACCAAGTCATCACAGAGCTACTCGCCCGTCACTACTCCCGGCGCCTGGGGCGCACCAGAAGTCACTCGCGGTCCGGCGACGGGCAACAGCGGCTGGGGTGGTTCGTCGACGAACGAGCTGAGAAAGGCGTCGGGCTGGAACACTCCCTCTGCAAGCAGCACGACATCGTCGTCTGGCTCGACACAAGCTCACGCACCGACACGGACGCCGGCCGCCGCGACGGTAGCATCGAGCGGTGGCTGGAATGCGCCACCATCCAGCACCACTGCCGCGTCCAGCTGGACGGCGCGGCCGAGTAGTGCACGTGACCCGACACCGGCACCATCAACAACAACGGCCACCTCTGCAACGAAAACGTCGACGAGCGGGTGGGGCGCACCGACGTTGACGACCGACACGAACGCAACACTGGCGACCGGTGGTTGGGGCGCTACACCTCTCGCTTCCAGCGCGACCACGACACCTGCGGCAGTGGCTACCAGTTCGGCGTCGCGCTCAGGGTGGTCGCCGAGCCCGGTCAAAGACGCGACGAGCGGTGCGCCGCCAGCTTCGACGACTGACGTTGCTAGCACCAAGCCGACGCAAGCGTCCGGCTGGGATCTGAGTCCGGACCGCCCGGTTGTAGCGCGAAGCGTGGGTGGCTGGGGCGCACCGAGTGCAGCGCCAAGCACACGCAACGTCGGTGGGTGGGGCGCCGACGTCAAGAAGGACGTGCCTAGTGACGCGGCTCGTGGCAGTGGGAACGGTCCGACGGCGCCGCGCTCGGACGCGACCGGTCGCCGTGACGACGGCGCGTCAACATGGAACGTATCGCGACGCTACGACGATGGCCGCAATGGTGGCCGTGGCGACGCAGGTCGCGGGCGCTACGGCAGCAGTCTGCCCAACGGTGGTCGTAGTCCGCCGCGCAACAACGACTACCGCAGCCACGACCGGCGTAGCCAGCCCCGCGACTCGCACAGCTCTGGACGGGGTGGCCGAGGTGGTCATTATGGCAGCCGCGGTAGCGACAACGGTCGTAGTCCTTCTCGCAATAGTAGCCGCGACAACAGACGCAGTTCTTCTCGCCACGGTAGCCGCGACGGCGACAGCTATGGCAACGCTGGTCGAGGCGGCGGTCGTGCACCGAGCTATCCGCCCGAGCGTCGGGGTCGTAGCCGGTCCAAGAGCCGTCATCGTGACGCGAGTGCGTTGGATGCCAAGCGGTTCAAGCGGGAGTCGTCGTACCAGGCACCGCCGCTCCATGACGACACGCCGTCGTTTGAATTTGGCGGCGGCGAGTCGCCACGCCGCCCCGAGCCCCGGCTCGCCGAAATCAACGGGCCGCCGTCGCCACCGTCGTCGTACCCGCGCACACCGATCGTGGCCCGGCGTGCGTCGCCTGTCCCGGTACGCTCGTGTTCTCTGAGTCTCGTTCTCAGTCTTGTAGATCACGCCGGCGAGCGAGTGGTTTTTTGCCGTGACGTTGGGCAAGAAGATGGTGCAGTGCCGAGCCATGGCGACGGGGCTGCCCTTTACGCGCCAGCCGTTGTACGTCCATTTTTGAGTTTGAGGTTGAGGTTGATGGACATGTAGCCCGCAGGAAGTCAACGTGACACAGCTGCCCAAGCTCAAAGAATTTGCTAATTTCATGCACTTGGACTCGAAGATTGAGTGTCCGCACTGGATCTACGAGATGCTGCCGCTCTCGCCGACAGACGGCCTGCCGTACGAAGAGCTCAAGACGTACCTGCTGCAACGCCGCGCCGAGCCCGTCGCGGGGATGTCGCTCGACATTCCGCGCTACAAGGTCATTTTGCTCCCACCGGGCGGCGAAGCCCGGCAACTCGGCTACATTGGCCACAACATGATCGCTGTCATCCGTCGAAACAAACACAAAAAATAGTCGCGTACCCCTAATCCTATATCCCGTCGATGCGTTCAACCTAGACTGTCGAACGATAGCATTCCTGTCGTCCCAGCTTGCCACGCTGAGGCATCTACAATGGATCGCGACTGCAAAAAGAATGCCAGCGAGTAGCGAGACCCTAACCTCGCTCCTCAGCGTCGCGCCCATGGTATCTCGACGGACAACGCTCGACATCTCGGTCCAAGCGTCCGACGTCCCGACACTGCGATCACTTTTGGAGTGTCCTAGTTGCACGCAGCTACGCTCGCTTCTTCTCGACTGCAATCACGGTGACATCAGTGCACTCTTCGATGGACTATTGACGTCGCCAGCGCTGGACGACCTCGAGCTGTGTCGTAGCTGCTTTGATCTGAGGACCGTGCAAGAGACCGAATGGGTCCTCATACATGTAGCACACAACATGTAGTAGAGTTGGTGGAGCCACTTGAGAGGAGTCGGTCACATATCCAGCGGCCAGGCGTCTACTGGTGGGCATGCTGTTGACAACAGCGTCATCCACAAGCTAGTATGCATCACTCGCTTTAGCAGCAAAAATGTATGTAGTCCAAAATGACGTGGCGGCGCGTCGTTGATGTTCGCAGTCCATTTCATCCAATCAAATCAGTTCTTTCCAACCCTTCGAAAGGATCACACAGTTGCAGTCGGTGCTGCGAATGTCTTGGGTCAAGAGTCCATGCTCTCGCTTTGCCTCTCTCTGGGCTGCGCAAGTCCATAAATCACGCCATACCGGTATCAGGTGCCAGCACCTCGCTCGCAGGAGGTAGTTCTACGTCCCATCAAATCGAGATGCACGTGCCACTCAAAATTTGAACAGGCGCAAGCTCCCGTAGGCCCAGCGATGGGTGCACCTTGCCCTTGCGCCATTTATACTCCTGCGCGTCGACCGACGTGACACGGTGCACACCACGTATTTGCAATCAAATCGGCTTCCAAAGATTCAACGTCCTAGCTATCAGAATTTGTGCGTGTCCTTGGTCAACCAAACGCCGCCAGCGAGGCTACTATGCTCACGGGATGGCGTGCGTCGATTACAAACCGGCGCTGGACGCTCAGCTAACGGCTGCTCCGAGAATCGCATGAGCGATCATCGCAGCTCAGGCGATATGCGTGCGCATCACCGTGGGACGCGACTTGAAGTTGGCCTGCGTCACCGACTACGACGACACATCTTCGAAAACGCCAACCGCCGTCGTGCCACCACACCGCGCGACCTTGGCCCTCGTCTAGCACGCCGCACCAACAAGCAACCAAGAGCTTTGAGTAGCAACTCTTTGCTAATGTACTCGCCTTGACCATGGTTCATCCATAGTCCTGTAAGAACAACCAAGATTCAGAGGGATTCGGGTTGATGTTCGTAGTCGAATCGCCGGCCACTGCGGAACCAGGATCGACGACACAGCCTATCATACCGCACGCCTTCACCAGCTGTGTCCCTTCCACCCATTGCTCCCCAACGTTTGGCGTCCAGCTAATCGGCAAGACGGCCCGCCGTGTCCACGTTGCCTTTGCCTTCACGAGCCCCAAGTGCAATGTCGTGACTGCTGGAAAGGTCGCACTCGCATCCGGATATCCGGATACGGCGCCAAAAGACGCGTGATTGGGCAAACACGGCGTCTCGAACGCGCAGCGCTTGTTCCGGCGGAACGCGCGGTGCCAAGAGCATTCGATTGCGTGCGCTTAGCCCCACGTGGCCAACCGGCACAGTCGGTTCGATAGCTCTCGACTAAACCTACGAGCTTGCTGCCCAGCGCCAAAGCCCACTGCTACTGGCGTCAGTAGCCGCGTGCACATCCCACTCCGCCGCCGCCGCCCCACTCCAGCATGGCGATCACTTTGAAACTTCCCCGCATGGCGCCGGTGCCGGAGTCGCACCGCCTCCTCAAGCCGTCGGCCACGCCGGCGTATGCCTCTGTGCGCGCGACGAGCCCGACCGCCGACGACGACGCGTACGACCGCGACTGCGAGCGCGGCGTGCCCATCGTGCTCCGGCACTCGGCGTCCGGGCTCTACTCGCCGACGCACAATGCCGCGCCGCGCATGTTTCCGATGGCGTCGCACGCGTCATTTGGCATGCTCGTGGCCATGACGTTCATGACGCTCTTCATGTCGGTCGTTGGCGCTGGCATGCTCAGCCTCCCGTACGCCTTTGCGACCGCGCCGTTTTGGCTTGTGCTATCCAGCTTGGTGTACGTCGGTCTCTCGATGGCGTTTAGCGCCGACACGCTTCTGCGCGTCCACATTGCCACGTCCCTCTCGACTTTCAACGCGCTTGCGTACGCCGCGCTGGGTCCGTGGTTTTGTCACGTCGTGTCGCTCAGTACGATCCTCGCAGTCTTTGGCGCGTGTGTCGGGTGCCTCGAGATCGTGCACGACCTTGCGCCGTTCTTGCTTGCGCTCGTCGGTGTGCCCGCGTCGCAGCATGCGCCGACAATCGTGCTCTGTGTCTTTGTCGCCATCATGTACCCGCTCACGTTGCTCAAGAAACTCACCGCGCTTCGCTTCTCGAGCTACATTGGCTTTGGCGCGTCGCTCTACCTTGTGGTTGCCATCTGCGTCGCAAAGGCGCAGCGCCCAACCGCCGTGATCTCGCCCAAGACGGAGACGCCGCCGGTCGTGCTCACGACCGCGCACCTCATGTCCATGTTCAACTACGCCTTTGTGATGCACCTCAACGTCATTCCGCTGTACGACAATCTGCGACAAGCGACGCACGAAAGCCGGCACACGCCCGGCGGCAGCTTTATCTACCCGGACGCCTCGAAAGTCATGACGCGCATCGTGTTTGCCATGTCGACGGTCTGCGTCGTTATGTACAGCCTCTTTGGTACGAACGACATCAGCGACGACGCAGGATGACCGCTCGAATCTTATGCATCTTATTCGTCGTAGGCTACAATGCACATGCCATGTACGGCGACGCGACGAACGGCAACATTTTGCTCAACCTCGAAGGCGAAGCGCTCATGGCCCTCCCGCGCGTCGCAGTACTGGCGACGATCCTCTTTTCATTTCCGCTGATTTACCACCCGCTGCTCATGCTCTGCGAGTCGTTCACGATGCATATTGTCTACCAGCAGCACCCAACGTCGCCGACAGTCCACGCTGCGTCGCGCCCAGCCCGCGCGCTCGCGTCAATTGTACGTGTTTTGTGCCAAGTTGATATCTTGATACATTTGGCTGATATTTTCAAAGGCGCTCATGGGCTTGCTCTTGTTTGTGGCGGCGGTCATGCCCGGCATTCAAGTGACCTTTTCGCTCACAGGCGCGAGCTGCGTGACGCTCATCTGCTACGTCTTTCCTGGCGTGTGCTACCTCAAGCTCGTCCCAGACGCGCCAATGTGGCGCAAGGTCGTTGTCGCCGGCGTCATGGTCGTCGCGTCGGTCGTCGGCGTCATTGCAACCGTCCTCGTTTGTTCAGGAACTGCGTTTTAGCTTCTCACTTCTCGAGCTTTTATCTAACTATCAAAAATCCCACCTCGTTTTGACCTGGTCTGCGACTTGGCGACGTTGGTGACATCTTGTACAGTACATACGTTGGACTGCAAGGCGTCGACAGAGCTCCATCAACGCACAAGCCTCCGTTCGCACCTTGTGCGATACCCGAGTGGGTTGTTGTTGTTTTGAAGTGAGTCGATTCAGGTAGAATTTACACTGAACTGTTTTGGACTTTCGACTCAGAGCGTGATGTGCTGGACGGCAGCAGCGGCGCGGCTTCGCCGTGTTGAAGGCGAGGTGTATGGAGGGCGCAAGCCGGGACCAAGTGGTCACGAAGCCAGGCGTCCCAAGTGGCTAATAGGCGACGGACCGCTAGTCATTGGAAGTAGGGTCAGCTACATGCAAAATGGCGAGCCAGCTGTTCCATTTTGAAGGCAAACTCGGACCTTTTGTACTAAGGTTACATTTAGTGAACCAGTCGACGGCCGTGCGACAACTACGTATGTATGTAAAGGCAATTTGGAAGAAGGAATTCATGAAGAGACTGCCATGACGCTGTTACGTGTGCGGTTTGTGCAAGCAGAAAAGTCAGATTTGGACAAAGTTGGTCCATCTTAGCGAATGTTAGGACTTAGTGGCCGACACGCGAGGCGACAAAATTGGACGACGCGTTCTGCATCGTGACCGTGAGCACGAAGACGAGGTACACGATCCACGCAAGGTTGAAGAGCTGAAACCACTTCATGTTCTTCTTCCCAATGCACTTGCCCATCCACGGGCAATGGTGGTCTACGCCATACTTACTGTACGGTCTAAAGACTTGGCGTACCGTATTTCTCGATACAAACGCCGCAGTCGTCGCAGTGCTCGGTGCCCCGGAACTGGTGCACATCGCAAATGTCTAGTCGATGTGTGAGCGACCAACCCGATTTGAAAAGAAATGGCAACCGCAATAGCTGCACGTGGCAAGGATGGCCGGGTCCGATTGTGTCGTGCCCCGGGCCACGATACCCGGGTCCGTGCACGTGGTTTGGAAGAGAAAATAGCTCGTGGCCGCGGCCATGCCCAGCGACGCTAGCGTGTACCAAGCGTCAAGCTCCGCGCACCTAGGACGAGCCATGAGGATCACGAGAAGGAGACGACGCGTACTGCTGCCCAATAAATAGGATGGTCGACACAATGATGAGCCCGAGCGTGACGAGGACGCCGATCCAGTGCGGGCCTACGAGCATGAAGGGCCGCGCCTCGCGGACGACGTAGCTTTGTCTACGCTCGCGTTAGCCTTGTCACGCCTCGATGGCATCGTGTACCCGATCTTGCGGTAGTTGCACCAACCTACATGCATGCCATGAGCCCGAGCAGTCGGCGATAGACGTACAAAAGCATCGGCACGGATCCGTCGGCGTCATGTACTCGTCGTCGCTGAGATCATGGGCCGACGAGCTGCCCATCGTCATAACGAGCGCGTCTTCCTCGTCCTCATCGATCGTTGCACGGTCGTCGAGGCCGTACTCCTCGTCGGCGACGCCATCTTCGACGCTCTTCCCGGCGGCCATCGTGCTTGCAATGTCCAGACGGCCGTTGTGGCCAGCCGAAGTTCGAAGAAGACAGAACTTCGATCGAAGATTGAACCTTGAAGCTATTCGCACGCAACTCGACCAGGATATTTCCGCCAAGTCTTGCTCGCTCTTTCGTTTCTCAATTAAACCTTAGAGCTCAACCTATTCTTGAAACTCTTGGAGCTCCACCAACTATTTGAGTTTGACCAATTCTTGGAGCATAGCAATTTATGGAGCTAGCCCAATCTCGTGACCCAGTAGCCACAACAAGACGAGAGCGAAGCTTCGTTTCGAGGAGGTCATACAACAGCAAAGGCACACACTATGGCAACGACGTCTACGCGTCGCTCGGGTCCATCTCCTGGTAGGCGCCGCCGTGGTCGGCCTCGTCGCGCAGCTTCTTGCGGCGGATAAAGAAGGCTGCGGCCGCAATGACCGCGACACCGGCAGTCACGCCGATGCCAACGCCGACTTTGCCGCCGGTCGAAAGCCCACTCGACGTCGATGTCGCCGAGTTTGATTGCGTCGACGCGCTAGGTGCCATCGCTGCATATGCGCTCGCTGTGATGCACTTGGACGGGTTGTTGCAGAGGTATCCGGACGGGCACACGGCATTGCCTTGATGGCTGCCAAACGACGCGCTCTTGGTCAGCGTCGCGTCGCCTGTCGCGAAGAAGCTGTCGGCGTCCGACGTTGTCGGCTTGAGCTCGCAGACGTACGACGCGCCGGATTCAAATGTTGTGAGCGGCTACACACTAAAATCACACCTGCAATGGGCAGTATACAAAAACGTACCTGCGCCGTGCAGCCGCAAGACGATGCGCAAGCAACCGGTTGAATGCTACCTTGGACGTTCCATCCGTTGCAGTTGGTCGAGCAGCGCGGCGCCATCGCGCTGTTTGCCAACAGTCCGTTGAAGAGGGCGTCGACGCTTGCTTGGGGCGGCGAAGCGCCGACGCCAATGAAGCCCAACATGTCGATCGCACTCTTGTACGTCATCGCATCAACCTCGGTCTTGACGTTGCTGTTCAAGTACGTGCAGGTTTGGACTGGCTTGTGGCTGTTGCGGCACGCGCCACCGCAGCACACGTCAGCGCCAACGCAGTACTGGACATTGACGCCGTTCATAACCTGGCGCGTCAGCGAGGCGACGCACGAGCCGACGCCCAAGATCGACCTGTGCCCGCATGGCGTCGAAGCCGAGCACTTTTCGCACTCGGGGTGCGTCTGCAGCACCGAGTCGACGTTGATGACGTTGCCAGCGTAGTTGAGTGCGCCTTGGCCGCGCGCGTTGAGGACATGGTCCACATACGACGTCGCAACCGACGTGGCGTCGCCCGCTGCAAACGACGCAAACGTGAGGAGCAGCGTCGAGAGGCGCAGCATGGTCGAGGCGAGAAGTGTCGTTTCGAAAAAAAGGCGTCAAGCGCCGCGCCCCTTGAAGATCGACTGGCTAAACCCACGCAGTTTATGGACCTGTCAGTCGACGACACACCGAGGCAAGAGGAAGGGCACTGCATTCGCTGATAACAAGACATGGGCGTCCTGATCAATAGCCTCGCATTTTTCGAGTACACCTATGGTAGCTGTAGTGCCAGTTTCTCTCAAAGTGCTTTCTCAAACGTCAAACTCAAAGTGCAATCTCAAGAAAGCTGCGCAACCGGAGACTCGGTACTTTTATGTGCGCTGGATCTTGTGCTTATAGACAAAGCGTATAACTGGCAAGCCCAACGGCCGAGACGCATTTCGCCAGAGCAATTAATTCGATCGGCCTGCCCGTTGAACGATGTCCGACGTGTGACCTGTGAAATATAATACCCATATAGTCTCAGAGGTATCGAAAAAGGAAGATCTTCCGGGTTCGAGATTTGCAGCCTTTCTGCATTTCTGCATTTCAGATCTGATGGAGACGACCAAGCCGGCGCCGTCGCTGCTCAAGCGCCTCACCAAGCGCGTGCTCGTACAGCCCACCGTGCGCTTCGGCCTCGGCGCGGCCTTTGGCCTCTCGACGGCCGTCGCCGTCTGCTTCTTCCCATTCCCAAAGGGCAAACTCATGAGCGCCGCGTTCGCGCCCTTCATGCTCGTGTTTGCCTACCTCCTCGAAAAATACTCTGCCACGTCCGTGTGTCTGCCCGCGACGTGCCTGCGCATCTGGCACGGCAAGACGAGCTTCCTCGCCGCGGCGACGGTCTACCTTGGCATGTACGCTGGCGCGGCGTACATCACGCGCCAGCTCCAAGGCGCGATCGCGTCGTCGCCGACCAAGGACCAAGACCACATGGCGCTCTTTAGCGAAAAGCTCTTTTTCGAGATGCAAGACGTACGATCTGCCCACTCGCTATTGCTACAGTTTGATGGTCCTGCGTGTAGACGATCGAATCGCGCCTCAAGCAGACGGCCATCATCACAGCGTTTTTCTATGCACTTGACCATGTGCTCGTCCAGGCGGCGCTGCATGTCTTTAGCTTTGTCTGGCTCGTCTTGCTGCCCGAGATGAACCCGGCGATTGCGATGGCGTTTCTCGGCCACAGCGACAAGCTCCGCGGCGACGACCTCGCGCGCTTCTGGGTCAACTCGGTCTTCCTTGTGCTCGTGTGCATCCTCGGCCTCCAAGTCGCGAAATGGGGTCTCGCCGCCACCAAGGCAGGAATGACCAAGTGGAAAGAGCACTCGAAGAAGGCGACACTGCGCAAGCCAAAGCGAGCGTAA